CGGTTCAGCTCACCCAGGTGAACTCCATGAGTCTCTATCTTTTGACTCTTTTTTCTTCATAGCACTCACCAATACCTGACACTGTATTATATATTTATTTGTTTACTGTCTTCTCCCACTAGCACATAAGCTCCATGAATACAGGGACTTCATTTGCTCTATTTTCTATTGTGTCCTCAGCATATAAATGAGGACTGGCACATAGTAGGTGCTCAGTAAATATTTGCCAAATGAACAAAATCGTGAATGAATAAGCCCCTGTCCCACCTCCTTTTTTAATTTTTACTTTTTATTTTTTATTTATTTAATTTATTGATTTATTTATTTTTTTGCGGTATGCGGGCCTCTCACTCTTGGGGCCTCTCCCATTGCGGAGCGCAGGCTCCGGACGCTCAGGCACAGCGGCCATGACTCACGGGCCCAGCCGCTCTGCGGCATGTGGGATCTTCCCGGACCGGGGCACGAACCCGTGTCCCCTGCATCGGCAGGCGGACTCTCAACCACTGCGCCACCAGGGAAGCCCCCACCTCCTTTTTTAGACTCCTCAGTCACACTACATGGATTTTTACTGGATCCCCCACACACTGGAGCTTGTGAAAATCATTTCAATTTCTCTGGGCCTTGGTTATACCATCTGCAAAATGGGATTAATAATAGTTCCCCTACTTACCTTCAAGGATGGTTGTGATCGTCAGCTAAAATAATGGAAGTTAAAATGCCTCAAAGGTCATAAATTGCTCTACAAACATGAGCCATTATGATTCTTCTCCCCCCCACCCCCTCCACAAGATTTATCACTTCATGACCTTACCTACCTTTGGAACCTACTTTGGAACCAAGAAGAAAGAAAGGGCTTCAGAGAAACCAACGTCAAAATAAAAATGACAAAGTCTCTGCATGGAAATGTGTTTTCTCAGAGTCCTCTGGTTCCCCACTCACAACTATCTTCCACTTTAACCAGCTTTACGTCCAGTTCTAACAGGTCTGTTTTCCATCCTTTGGGGGGACCAGGAAGGGGGATGAGGGGACTTATTTGAAACAGGTGTGTTGATTAAAGCTATCACTTTTCGAGATACCCTGAGCTTGAGGGAGAAGGCTGCCAAACTGGAGCACCAGACATGTATATTCAGCATCCCCTGAGGTTTGGGGCTATGAAGTGCAGACGCCCCTGTACCTTGAGAGGTCCTCAGGGGAGCGGGGCCACTGGGGAGAGACACAGTCACAATGGTGATCCTTGATCACAGGGAAAATGTTCAAGGACTGTCAGTTCCCTATTGAAAAAGGCAGGGAAGGCTGTGCAATGCATTCTAAGCAGGTTTTCAACCAAAACGGTTAAAATAAAAACTGTCCACCGACCAACAAGCTAACTTGTAGTTGTAGATGGAAAATATTCTTGACTAAACAACTGATGCTATTAGGTAAATGAAGCTTTATACCACGTGGCTATCTAGTCACCATGGGAAAGATTTCAGGTGACGGTGTTTAATATCTCACAATTACATTGTTTATCTTAAGTGCGGCTTGGACAGACTGATGGCATAGGATGTAGATGTTAGAAAATAATTAAACAAACAACGACTGTATAAATGTCTGTATAGTTAACTCCATCCATGTGTGGAAGACATTGTTTGTGAAGAGGCCACTTGGTGGCTTGGAAGAAACAGGACATTTTAATTGTAGCTTGCTCCTCCCAGGATATTGCTGAGCTTGAGGAAAACAAATTCAAATTTTCGGCATCCTAAGCAAGCCCTAATTAGGAATGCAAATCTGCTCTGAACTGAGGGGTCGAATACTCCATCTAAGACAAAGAGATATGCTTTGGGGATTATGCAATGTTTTGAATGACCTGGCAACAGCGCTTCTCTCTCTTAGTGTTGATAATTAAGAGACAAACCTCTAAGGTAACTAAATAACTAGTCCCCACAAGGAACTAAACCAATAAACCGTGTGCTAAAAACCTCACAGGGCAACAGAGGTCAACTCAGTCTTCAGAGCTAGAAGAAACTTGAAAGATGATTTTATCCACTGGTTCTTAAACCTGGCTGCAAATGAGAAGGATATGGGAAGCTTTAAAGAAAAAACCTGATGCCTAAAAAACAAGACCCAAACAAACAAAAAAAAACTGATGTCTAGACCCCATAGCCAGAGATTCTGCTTTAAGTTGGCAAGCATCCTCAGGCTACTCCTCGTAAAAACCTCCCCAGATGTTTCCAATATACAACACCGAGGTCCAGAATCACTGGTTCCCAAACTTGCACCATCTATCAGAATCAGGTGGAGAGCTGTTCTAGAAAGAGATTTCCAGGCTTTACCCCAGAACGACTGAATCAGAATCTCTGGAGGCAAGGGGCTGGGAATCTCTATGAAAAAAAAAACCCCACAGAAACAAACCAAAAAAACCCTTGCCAAGTATCACCTCTGCACATTCTGGTTTGGGGACCACTGATTTAATAGGTGATATTTGCTGGTGAGCTGGTCAACTGACTCTTCAAAACAAAAACAATGAAACAAAACAGCAAACCTTGATCTGTAGCGCTTGCCAGTTTCCGTGGTGTAAATACTCCCTCCATGGGTGAGTCTGAGCTACCAAAGTGCCCTCACTGAAGGCAGAGTCGGAAAGACATGCACGCAATTGACTTTTGGGAGCCAGTGCTAGCAGGCTCTATATATCAGACTGCAAGCACGTGAATCTTCACGCTCCCATTTACTCGACAGGTGACCTTAACAGCCACTTAACCTCCCTGCGCCTCAGTTTCCTCAGCTGTGACACAGGAAGATCATATTACTCCCTTCATAGGCTTGTTTTGAGACATAAATGATGACTATTTACTCTGTGTGAACAGTGTACAGGTAGTACCTGTGTATTTTGTACTATTATTTTCTAGAAAATTGTTTATTTGTTAAAACTTATTATAATACCGTCTGTTACAAAAACACTTTAACGAACTTAATTTTAAAGTTTAGCTTTGTCCCAAGCTGTACTAAGTGGCGAAATCATGGTGAGAGAGCACATTTGATGTGCCGATCGTATTTTTTCTAATACTCCCTAAAATAACTTCTCAGTTATCCAAACAGAGATGCTTCTCTGTGCACTAAAGGAAATCACCTTGCAAATGAGATGGTGTTTAAGAGCATGGTTTAAGGCTCAGCTCTGCTCCTTATCACCTGTGGGATCCTCAGCAAGTCAACCTCTCTGTGCCACAGTATCCTCACCTTAAAGTGGGATTGTTGTGAAGATTACGTGTAAAGTACTTTGAACGGCCGGCGCCTGGCACACAGTGGCTGCTTTATAAGGCTTGGTTGCAGTTTCTGTTTCTATGGTATTGTATATCATCGGTGGGAAATGTACCCCGTTTTGGGACATGCTGCATCATTTTCTTCTGCCTCCCTGGAGGGCCGAAACATGGCTCATTGATTTTTGTTCCCTTTCACGTTGACGTAGAGTCCATTTTTTCCTCATCTTTACAATAAACCTGAGCCTGGCTGGCAGGAAGTAGGTTGAACCAATTACCATTGCCAATACTTGACTTTCTGACCTACCCCAACTAATCTGACCTCCTCAATAATTTCAGCCAGATCATTTTTTTCCCCAAGTATTTGGGTTTTGCCTGCCCGGTCGCCTGTTTATATCTCACTGGTGAGATCTCCCCTCTGCTTTGAGGTATAAGAGAAAACAGACTTCAGCTACCAGATCTTCGGGTTGAGGACTAGAATTTCCATTTCTATTACTGTTGAAGCCCAGTGCAGGCCAGGGTGGATGTCAGCAAATTCACCCCCGCTCCGACCCCGTGCAATAGAGCAGAGCACTCCCTCGCCCCTCCCTCGACCCAAGGGCCTTGCTGCTGATGCTGGCACTAGTGAGGGCCAGGTACAGTGCTGAGCATCCCATATGTGGGCCATATCATCTGCACAGCAAGTCTGTGATGTGGGTATTATTATCTTTATTTTAAGGATGGAGAACCAGCTCAGAGAATGTGAGTAGTTTGCTCCCTGTGAACTGAAAGTTTCTACTTTGGGGCTTGGGAAAATAAATTACTTAACTTCTCTCCTTGCTCCAGGTATGTGACCTTTTTCTCTTCTCTATTATAAGGACTATCTAGGTGAAGGAGTCGGAGGTCCCCCAATGAGAAGTATTATATAAATTCAAAGCATAATTATTGATTGTACATTCTTTCATTAAACAAACAAAATATATGCTAATGCTAAACTCACTCCAATTTTCCATCTTGCCATCCTTTGAGAAATAAGCCAATAAACCATTACACACTTAGCTTCCTGGGGAAATGAATTTAAATGTTAATATAAATCCTTTTAGAAAAAAAAACAAATTTTAACAAATAAGTATTTGAACAAGGAGGGTACTTAATCACGTTCAGAATGAGAAACCCTCAGTACAAGCCCGTTGGTGGCTGTTGAGATAAGCTCTCTAAATTTAATATTTTATAATAGACTCACACCTCTTTTGTTAGAAATGGAGAAACAGAATCATTTTCTTTTCTCCTTCACTGGAATATATTTAAATCTCTCCAATTCTATTTTGCTAATAGGCAGGGCGAAGTCCGTCTATAAATGTATCCTGATTTATCACAGGTAATCCCACACTCTAGCATTCATGTGTAGAACTTAACCTCAATTTAAATGTAAATTCTGGGCAACTTTGAGTGCTTTATCTGTGAACTTGGAGAGTGCCCTTCATTAACGAGGTCTGCACTAATTATAAGCAGTTTTGTAAGTTTCCCTTAAAACAATTGCAGAACTGACCCCAAAATGAACAAATTCCGAATTTATTTGTTTTAAAAAATTACTGGCACCCTTGTGCAAATTTCTGCCTAAGGCCCTGCTCCCAAGGTGTGCAGGCAGGAGGGGGAGGGAGCTGGATGATAACAGAATGAAATATACCAGAGAAACCAATGAAAATGGAAATGAAAGTGAACTGGGTTTACCCTCAAAATAGGATCTCTTTTTCCTGTTGAAGGAAACTACAGTTTCCTACCCTCTTCTCATCTCAAAACAATTTTACTGTGCAATATTCTTCGCTTCCTTTTGACTATACAGTTTAGTGGCAACTAATGAAAAGAGCACCATCAAAATTCTCACGAAAGCCAAAACACCCACAAAAACATTTTTCAAATACTCACAGGTACATCCACATATTTGGAAGCTGCCTTCACCTAAGGAGGAAAGAAGAGGATGGAAGTGAGGGTGGTGTTTATGTTTAATTGTTCACAGCTCAATGCTGTATCACCATCAGAGTTAAAACAATATGCTGGCAGACGGAGCTGACCAGGAAACACAGAAAGGTACTAAAAAAATAAAATCTGTTTGCTAATTTTTTTTACCCTGCAAGCCAGACCCACTGCTTTGGAGAGAAAGAGAGAGAGGGAGAGGAGAGAGAAGGAAAGAGAAAAAGACAGCAAAATTTTTACTGAGATTCTGTAGCTGGTGTGGGAGATCTGCATTTTCCTCCCTCCCTTTAAAAGGGAGAAAAATGACTGTAGCTAAACCCAGACCGTTGAGTGGAGGGCTCACCAGTCTAGAAAAGCAGTTAAGTCCACTGTCACTTCTTGTACCTTGGGGTCTTTGTATAATCTGGCTACAGGTTTGTCCTAATTGAATCTTTGAGCTCTCACTTTCCAGTAACTCTCTTCTAGAGAAGGGGATGTAGCGGGTGGGCACCCTTAACCCAGAGGGAGATGGGTGTCTGTGGGAGGGGGTTGGGAGGGTACCAGAGCCCTTCAAAACTGTCCCAAGGCCGTTGTTATGTCTCCTGGTTTTAAATAATAAAACACCCAGAAGGGAAGTGCAGGAAGAGGGTGTGACATTTATTTTCAGTTCTGGTGGAGGGAGTGTGGTGGAGTACGTACAGTGTTTTGAGAGCATGGAATTTGGAGTCAGTTCTGGGTTCAAATCCAAGCTCTACGACTTACAAGCTGTGTGACCTTGGACAAGTGACTTCTTCTCTCTGAGCCTCAGTTACCTCGTCTGCAAAACGCAGAAACCATTAGGTAACTGTTGCAGCGGGTCGATACAAGGGTGAATACACACAGAGTCCTGGGACACAGCAAGCACAGAATACATGGGGGCTGAGAGGATCGATTCACAAGCAGATCTGGCGGGGCTCTGGGTCCTGTGAGAAGTCAATGAACAGCTGGGTTTGAGGAACAGAACCTGAGGAGGATGTCTGATATTCTATGCGTTTCATTTTGACTCGGGTCACACACGTTCCACTTAAGCACAGGTAAGACCGAGGGGCTACATTTGGGATCAGAGGAGCATTTTCAGTTTTGTCGGCAAGTACCAAGACTGCGATGCACACCAAGCACTTAGGACGTCTTTTCACATCTCAGGTGGGCTGCCTCTTGCCACCTGGCTGAGACCAGTATTGGGAGTCACTACCTCTATCCCCATGTCTCCCAGGAAAGTATCCAGGGGAGTGTTTCTCCCTGTTGCTATTTTCTCAAAGCCACTTTTCAAAATGTCAAATCTCAAGAAAGAAGTCAGTGAGCCAATGGCTGGGGTGGAAAGAGTCCAGGATTTAGAGTCAAAAGTTCTGTAAGTGATAGAATTAGTTGACCCTGGGATCATCACTTCGAGTCTCTTCGCCTGGGTTTCTCTATTTCTAGAACAAGGTGATACCACTGTGTACCTTGTAGGGCTGAGAGCGTGATCAAGTGACAAAATGTACGGGAAAGTGTTTCATAAACTTTAAAGGGCGGAACACACATCAATTAGTTAATTATTGAGAGGGCAATGCATTCTATCTCCTGGAATCATCGCCAGCACCCAAGATGATTCCTAGAGTCTCCAGTTACAGATTCTCTCAGAACCCTACATTTTTTCCCTTTGCAGCACTGATTGCAATCGCAATTCAGTAATTTTGGTGCCATGTCTGTCTCCCACGGAATGTCATGTCTTGCCCCTAGCTGTCTCCCCAGTGACTCACTTGTTACCCGGCTTAGAAAGGGCACTCAGGGAAAATCTGTAGAAGGAAGGAGAAAAAGCTAGTGACCAGTGCCGGCTTCAGGGTGGTTGAGGAATAAACAGAGCAGGTTGAGAAGCCACTGCCTGAGTTAGTCTGAAGGCCAACAGGGTCGCATATAAAGCTGGATGCTTGCAAAGCTTGGTGAGTGAAGGAAACCACTCCGGGCCATGAAGGGGGGTATGAGGAAAGCTTTCCAGAATTTGCCTAAATAACATTTTACTAAATGATTCTCAACCCGAAATCTTTCCTCTTTATTCCTGTTCTAGAATTTAGTTTGTGCAAGAAGGTGGCTTTCCTTTCAAATCTCCTCTATGTACATTAATATGTAACAGTTGTATGATGTTTTACACTTTGCAAAGCACTTTCACGTACTGTTTCTTCTCTAAGCCACCCTGCAAAAGGGTGGCTATTAATTGTTTATCTATTCACTATTGAGAACACTAAAACCCACAGAATTTAAGAATTTATTTCATCATGATCTGAGCCAGAAGACAGAGAAGGCTGGACTCACATGAGGGTCTCCTGAGCCCCACTCTTT